TCTACTTAAATGTCTTTTGAAAAGAGGAAAAGTAATAGCTGTATTTAACTTACAGCATTTATATAAAGATTTCTACCAAGATAAAAGATACAAGAATGAGTTAGAATAATTTCTGGAAAAAATTTAGTTCAATTATTTAAATAAGAAACAAAATAGTGCAAATAAGTCTTCTATAAATTAATATTTATTAATAGCCAGATATTTTGCATTTATTGGTATTTTTTAGAACACCTTGAAAGGGACTATTGCTTCCATTTTGCTGATGAAGATACAGACCCAGAGAGCTATAACCCATGTCCAGCTGGAAGGAGAGGGTCAGAGTTGAACTAAGCTTATTACATAGCTGGAGGAAATATTTTCATTCCATGTTCATAAGCCCACATACACACACACAGATACATATCTGTATTTCTAACCCATCATGATATATATAGTATACTTCTTACACATAGAGAACATTCAAGTCCATATTACATGCTCTCCTTGTCCTTTATTCCAAAACATTTAGCCTCATCTGAATCTATAAAATAATGATAGGTGATAGACTTCAGTACTCCATATGTTTCTTTTGAAATTATTTTACTCATCAATTATGACAATAATGAACCATCTGAACCACCATTTTTATGTGTGATGGTCACAGTTCTCTATCACTTTAGAACTGAGTAATGGAATAGAAAAATCCTATGAAAATACTCAGTTTAACAATAAAGAGAATTTCCTAGAAAATGTTCCAGTTTAACTTGTTTATTTAAAAACATGTGATGTCAATATAACTTTCTACGTCCTACTATTGATCTCCTTTTATAATCCCACCTAAAGTTGGACAACACCATGAAAAGTTATTTAAAAAAACAATAACTTATCTTTGCAAATAAGACCCTTGCCAAATTAACCCTGGCAAGAGAAAGGTAAACAGCGCTGAAAATGAAGCCAAGTGGTTCTCTAAAATGAACCTGGAAGACACTGAGACAGAGCAGGTTCTGTAGAGGCCACAGCCTCTAACTTAGGGTTAACTTTCAGCAACACAACGGACCTTTTTATTATCTGCTACTAAGTGAAGGACATACCATATAAGATATCAGAAGACATATTCTCTTGGGTATAATAGTGTGGAGATTTGTGTGTGTGTGTGTGTGTGTGTGTGTGTGTGTGTGTGTGTGTATGTGTGTGGTTTAACTAGAATTGTTTTTTTTCCTTACTAGAATTCACCATTTATATACAAAAGAACCCCTATGGATGCAGTAGAAAACATAATACTCAAGTTGCAAGGTTCTCTGTTGCATATGGATTTGTTGTGCTATCTATTTGTCTCCGTGCATTCTTAACAAACTCTCATGGATTCACACCTTCAGAAAATAGATTGCACCTTGGCCTCTGTGTTTATCTTTTACAATAAATGGACCAAATTTGGCTAATTAAATATTCAATACGATCCATGCTAATCTTTGTGTCTTCAGAGAGCAAATGTAATAACAACAAAAAAAAACACCCTAAATCACTCTATAGATTTCCACCTGAATTACATTTTGTGAAAACCTAGTAAGTAAACTTGGTAATGGCCTCTTTGACAAAATAGTCAGTCACATCCTGTTGTTTTGGAGAAAATGTATCCTGGCCTTGTTCCCTACTCTATAAATCTCTAAGCCTATAGTTTAAAAATGTTTGGTGTAATAACAAGTGTTTGTTTAGAGACCTTGATTAAACATTGAGTACCTGCAGCTATCCATGATCAGATACAAGGCTTTCCTTTCTGGTCCCATTTTCTTTCACCTCCCTCCCTTCTTCCCTCCCTCCCCCTCTCTCCTCTCCACTGCTCCCACTTTCTTTCTTCCCTTACTCCTCTTCTCTCCGTTCCCTCCCTCCTTTCCCCTTCCTTTCCCTATCCTCCCTTCCCAAGCCCTCCCCTTCTCTCTTCCCTCTCCCCTCACTTTTCCCCTCTCCGCTTCTCTCCTACTCTCTTTTGTACCCACAAGCCATGACATTCCCATTTCCCAGAATGCAGTGTGTACTCCAAATGTAGAAGTAGTGCCTGTTGATCCTTTCATTATTGTCTCACTACCCCCGCCATGGTCACATGTGGTATTTCTTCCAAGTGCCTCAGAAACACCTCAAGCAAATACCAGCTCTTAAAGTCGCATCATGCTGTCCTGTGGCCATTCTTTTCCTGTCATCTCTCTGACACCGAACAGTGAAGACTCTAAGTACAAAGTATCGTTCTAGATATTCTCATTCTCAGCATGAGTCAGCCTGTCAAAAAATATTTCTTTTGAATGGATAAAGTTTCAAATGAAATAAAATGGTACCCATTAAGAATATAGTAAAGATAATTTCTGAAAAAAGGCTAACTAATCCTAAAATTGTATTCATCAGTGACCATAACTATAGAAGAGCCACAAGAACTGCATGGCAAAAAGCAGAGACAGTAGATAATGCTGACTTTTTGAGAAAGAGAAGAATTTGAACACAAGATTTAGAGCTACAGTAATCATCCCTACTGGGTCCTGGAGATGAAATTACATGTCACACTGTTTTTCATGAATGTGTTCTCTTTCATATGGAAGATGATGATGGCACACTGGGAACTTCCTTGCTTCCTCCCCTCCTTCCTTCTTCCAGTACTGAGCTTTAAACTCAAAGTCTTGAGATTCTTCTATCTTCTTCTTCTTTCCACAGGGCTAGCTCTGGACTGGGGTCCTCCTGCTCATCCTGCTGAGCAGGGACCTCAAGTGATTGCCGACACTACTGGCTTATAGATTAAGATGTTAACTTGGCTAACTTTTTGCACGGACCAAGCTAAAACTACACTTCTCTTGATAAATGCCTCCTAAGTACCTGGGATTATAGGCATGAACTATCACACTCAGCCCTTGTAATTGCTTTCTAAATTGCTAGAAAATTACAGATGAGGAAACCAAAGCTAACATGGTTAAAATGAGCGTTCAAAGTAGTTAAGTTGGATAATCATTGAAATGCAATGATAATTCTCGGTTTCCAATATGCAGCTCAATGCTCTGTGCTACTAAGATTAGTGGTTAATTTAAAACCATGGAACTGTAAAGTCCTAAGGCATTATTTGGAGCTGTTATTATAGACAATTTTAGCAACAGGCTCACGACACATTTTCTTAGATCTCAAATTCCTACATAATGTTATTTGTAAATAGGGTATTTTGTTAAGAACTTTAAAAAAAACATATGCCAGGAGGATAATTAAAGCCTTTTGAGAAATAATTAACTTCTCAGAGGGATTCCAGTACTTGTTTTGAAATGTGGAAACTACTACAGCCAGAAATTTAAAATATTGAAAATCCATGCCAATGTGTAGGTATCATACTAAGAAATGCATGTAAACAACAGGATGCACTAATCTGAGAGTTTCTTTCTATAGCTTCTTTAAGGTAAATGACTCCACCACTGATTTAAATAATGGTAGAAGGTCACATTCATTCATTTGTTCAGAAAGTAGCTTTAACACATCAGTTGGGCATTAAAGTTCTCCGGAGAAATACAACTGTTTATTGGCTCAAAGGAGATGTATAAATAAAGAGATTTATTTTAAGGATTTAACTCATGCAATTCTAGGAATTGGCAAGAATCTTCAGGGCAGACTGGCTGGCGGGAATTCTGGCAGGCATTTTGGATGTAGGTCCAACTGCAATCAGAATGTTTAGTGCCTTCTTTGGAAGACCTCAGTCCTTCTCTGAAGCCTTCAGCTGATGAGATGCTCTACTCTTATTAGGCAGGATCATGTGCTTTACTCAGTGCCTACTGAATCACATGTTAATCACTTCTGAAACTCATCTTTACAGATACACCTAGAATAGAGTCTCACCAAACAACTGGGCACCATAATTGACACATACATTTGACCATAGTCTAAGCAAGTGGACACATACATTTAAACATTTAGCCATCGCTGGCTATGTTTCAGGGATATAGTGGGCTGAGAGGTTCTACTAGGGAACCATTGCTTGAGAGAAACCCAAGGAACAGATGACCACACAAATAGGAATCACCCTCAGCCCAAGTGTCAGAAGCAGAAGTCAGGGCACTTTGAGAGCTGACAGCAGAGAAACTTGGCCTGGTCTGAGAGGCTTGAAATGGCTCCTCTAAGAAAGTGCCATTCAGGCTGGGAGCTACAGGCTCCAAATTGTGGTGAGCTAAGGAAAGACGGGAGGTAGATTTCCATGGAGAGGAGACCCCAAAGTAAGTGCAGAAGCTGATATCTGGAGACTGTTGGGAGGTCGTTATAGTAAAGCTGTTTTACAAGGTGGGAGAAAGCAGACCCTTCAGGATACTGTGTATCATATTGCAGGTTTGCCAGTAGTAAAGTGTGGCAACTATGATGTCTTTCTATATACGTAATGCCAAATGAGATTTTAAAAAATACACATTCATTTTGATAGGTCACTTTGCATTTCTGGATTTTACTTACCCCTTTAATAGAGGAAATTACTCAAGTGGTAGAGCCTCTCCCCAGCAAGCATGAGGCCATAAGTTTGAACCCCTAGGACTTCCATCTCTCTATCTATCATCTATCTATCTATCTATCTATCTATCTATCTATCTATAGATAGATATGTATATATATAGAGAGAGATGTATATATACATATATATAAATGTATATATATGTATATATACATCTCTCTCTATATATATGGAGAAGTAGAGTCTGTGCCTATAGTAGGAGCAAGTATTTTGTGAATAATAAAGAATCCCTAGACAAGTTAACATTTCTTGCACATCTCTAGGAAAATTTCATTTGTTCCCGATGTTGATCTAGATCTCATTCTCTAATGACAAGAAGCACTCATTGTCGAATTCTTTTAAGGCACCATATTGGGAATGATTAAAGTATCATTTGTGAAGGTTTAACATGACATTGATGTTCTGCATACTATTCACAAGTCATGAAACTCAAACCTCTGTTCACATATAGTAGTTAATGAAAACAGTCCAACTATTCATTGCTAATGCTGTGGTGTATTGTTCGCAGGAACGTAACCTGGAATAGCTTAGCCATCCCTGATACACACTGCTCTCCAGAGCTAGAAGAAGGCTACCAATGCCCACCGGGATTTAAATGCATGGACCTGGAAGAATTGGGCCTTAGCAGGCAAGAGCTGGGCTACAGTGGCTTTAATGAGATAGGTCTGTCTTATTTGTAAAGCACATTTTTTGCTTTCTCTTTTATGATGTTGATGAAACAGAGAACATAATCCTATCATTGATATTGCATGTTATGGCTGCAGGATAAAAACCTGAATGTGACTTTTACTCCTATGCCTACATGATAGTCTCTTCTACCCTACAGTCTGCCAAACGTAGGCTGTCTGCCTTTATATTCCTTCCACAGTGTTTATGTAGCTAAAGGTCTTGCATTTTAGCCTTTTGATTCTTAGTTATAGCACTGGAAAATATTTATCAAATAAGTTTTAGAGTGTTGACTCAAAGATAAACAAGAGCTCCTCTCTCTTTACATGTACCTCTACCCCAGTAACCAACGTTCATCTCAAGAAATTACAGTATGAGACATTTATAAATGAGTTGAAGAGTACGCCACAGTAGAGAGCAGCTTATGAAATAATGAATGTAAATTCACTGTATCATAGATATATGGGGAATGCTTTGATCTGAGTCTAATATGCCAGAGGGATACATTGCTTCTTGGGGTGTCCTGTGAAGTCCTGCGTGTGCCACTAGATGAATAATGAAAAGGAAGTAGCATCTGCTATTTAGCTAATTCCATTGTCTTTATTCCAGTTGCATGCGAGTTGTACCTATTTCCTCTACGGATGTAGGGAATTGTTACTGAAATCCGTTCTTAAGGAATGAGTGGTGGTCGTGCTGTTATTTCTTGGCTTTTACATCTCAGTGAGAAACTACAGCAAGAGATGCTGTGACCAGGGGTGAGCACTGGTCCAGGTCAGCGCTAGAATGGTGTAACAAACTCTAAGTTGGGATATTAGGAAGAATATGTGACCATCTTGTATTGTTTGAGAAACACTTTCCTGATTTATTGACACCACAAATAAACTACTTGAACGTGGGCTGAGAAAATGAAAATAGCAATTTTAAAGTTAACACCTCTATGCTTAATTCTTATGTTCTTCTATGCCTGTCGTGGATTTCTAATACCACAGTTAAATAATATTCTTCATTTCTGTTGAACAATGACATTGTTTTCTATGATTTTTTTCTATGATAGTTTTCTAGATTTCTCAAAAACCTAGAAGCCAGCTAATATGAAGAATTTTAATTCTCTGTACTCAAACCTATGTTCCTTTTTAAGCAAATTCTTTTGGCCACTCCTGAGGTTTGAACTCTGGGCTTGGGCTCTGTCTCTGAGCTTTTCTCAAGGCTAGTGTTCTATCATAGTGTCACTTCTGGCCTTTGCTGAGTAGTTTATTGGAGATAAGAGTCTCATGGACTTTCCTTCCAGGGCTTTGAACTAGGATACTCAGCCTCCTAAATATCTAGGATTACAGGCATGATCTACTGGCGTACAGCCTTTATACACAATCTTAAATCCTCTCCAGTGTCTGAGAGGCACTGAGGCCTTCTAGAGATTATTCTACTTACTCTCAGGCATGAGCAGGGGCTGTGGTATAGGTAATAGGATGTATAGATCGGGCCAACTGTAGGGAACAAAGTCCAGCAATCCAATTAGCTAGGCTAAGCATGCAGGACTGCAGTTTGTGAGGCTAACCAGAAGTACCCAGGTCTCCTATGAAGAGTGGCCAATATTCAAGGGCTGATCTGCCTTTTCAAGAATACCTCTGAGCACATCCCGATCATTTAAAATGCAGCAGTTATGCCACAGTTCAGCACACTGATTATATCAGAGTTGGTTCATTCTTCATCACTGTGACTTATATAGCAACTTCAGTTAATAAAGGGTAAAATCTCTCCATGAGAAACAGTCTCCTTATTAAGAGTGTTGGGTGGGGAGGAAGAATGCTAAGAGATAATATCCTTGGAAACAGTAGGCTCCCACCACACTCTTGTCTTACTGAGACTAGACTGTTGATTTGCATTTATCTCTAGAGGATTTAAAATCCTTGCAAATAGGAAGTATATCTCCTCATCTGCATGTCTCTAGGGCTTTGTGCACTCTCTGCCTCCTCAGGAGCCCTCTATAAATATTTACTAATGACAAGGCAAAATGTGTGTCCCTCAGATTCCATCAGCAACCAATCATGTTTGTATTAGGATGTGGAACACAATAGAAAACTGAGATGTTTTCTTGTTCTTTTCCTTGATTTTGTCTGCTTTTCTTGGCAATTTTCACTATCCCTCATAACCTTTCTTTCAGCATAAGCTAAATTAGTCTATGTGTTTCTTTGTCTCAAATGATAATTGAATTCATCACCATTGCTTGCTAGTGAAATGTTGTTGACTTAGTACTATAATCAAAAAATGTTTAAATGGGTATTACAGTTTATATTAAAATGGATATCTTTTCCCTAATATTAGATATCACTTTAGATATATAAACTGCTGTGCTTTAGGAGATGATTTTCAAAGGTCTTATGGAAACAAAAGACAGTGTTTACTCCAAAATGAAGCAAAGATATAATTTCATTAGGTATCTAGTTTAGGTATCCAGTTGAATTTTAAACATAGTGAAGTGCCTAGCTGTGCATATGAATTTGGACTGTATAATTGTATAGGTGAATAATAATGATTAATTAAAATGGAACATATTCCCTGTTATTACTAACCAAATTACCAAGCAAAACACTGAATTTTGATTCTTTTATGAAATCTGTCATTATTGTTTTGGTCTATATGCCAGTCCTGGGGCTTAAACTCAGGGCCTCGGCAGTGTTCCTGAGCTTTTTTGCCCAAGACTAGTGCTCTGCCACTTGATCCACAACTCTACTTCCAGGTTATTTGGGGCAGTTAATTGGAGATAAGAGTTCCTGCATGTGCTGGCTTTGAACAGCAACCCTCAGATCTCAGGCATGAAGTTTAGGTTTACAGGCATGAATCACTAGCACCCTGCCTCTACTCATAAATTTGAACTATGTAATTACATTCTGTCACCCATAGTTACCTTATAGGTCCTTAGTCGTTATTCTTCCATTCCATCCATTTCACCTGTTAAGCATACCCTCTTTCCTTTCCCATCTTCTGCAGCCTGATGAACCACCACTTTGTTCTAGCCTGGTTACAAATGACTTGGTATTTTTTCATATATATGCACACATTTGCTTTATACACTTATTTGCCAGTGGACGCCTACATTTCTTCCTTATCTTGGCATTGTGAATAGGGCTGAGATAAACACTAGAATACATGTGACATTCACAGGATGATTAAATAAAAATCTTAAGAGTAATGAAAGACCCGGATGCCTTATAAAAGCTCTGCATGAGACTCTAGTGTGAAATCCACTGGACTACTGTAACCACAGTAACAACACACACATCTGTCTCGGTGCACTTGTGAGGCTATAATACCACAGATGGAACAGCTTACAAACAGCAGAGAGTTATCCTTCATGGACAATGAAGCTGGAAAATCCAAGACCAACACACTGGCTTGTTTTGTATCTGGTAGGGACTCACTTTTTGCGGTATATTCGTATAGTGGGAAGTGAGAGCTCTCTGACTTCTTCATCCCCCATACCACACCATAAGGACTCATACTCACCCACCATGCTGGCATTCTGGATTTTTATCGTAAGGACTTTGGAAGAATATAATCTCACCCCACTGCTCCTGAATGTTCTACTCCCCTAATAAAATAGTGACAAATATGCTCTTAAGAAACTTGATTTTGATGACAAATACTAATAAAAAGAATCATAGTCATGTCTATAAAAATGAACTGTAGGTACATTTAAAACTGAAAAAGACTGAGATATATAGCTCATTGAAAATTTTACAGAAAAAGAAAGAACAGAGTGTATATATTAAAAGGCTACAATGTATCTCAGGAAAAGAACACAGATCAGTCAGCACTAAGCCATAAGTTAATAAAATTGACGGACTTCAAAATGAAAGAAAGCATTCATTGGGCATCTAGATGAAAAATGATTAAACAAATTTTAGGGTTCATAATTGGTACCTGGACTTTCTAATTAATAATCAACATTAGGATATAATGATATAGTACTCATAAGTTCCTTATGGGAAAAATGCATCAAACTCTTAAATATTTTTGAAGGGACAGATGCTATAATTTATGTGAATCTTCTTGAAGGCATTCATCCAATGTATGATTTAGTTAGCCAAGTCACTAGCACCAGTTTGTAGTAAGAACAAAGCTAATAAAGCTATAGGATGTATGGAATGGAATGTAAATTTTACCAATTTTAATTGTCACACCTCTACTCTCCTAAACCTGTTGAGAACCATGCATTGTTTAAAAGGGAAGATCACATTTGAAAATCACAAAATCCATTACCACACTTTCAGATCCCATGGTTGAAGCATGGGGAGCAATAGTTACAGAGTGGAAAGATCTAGAGATGAACATCGCCAACTCCCCTCTCATGATTCACACAATCTCTATAACTGGCTGTCTTTATCAACTGTGGTCCCAATTAATTCAGTATTGAAGGAAGGAAAACATTCAGAGGTAATTTGCAGACCAGTTTGGCTTTTAGTTTTGCAAGAAACTGTCAGCATTCCTCTCACCCATGGTGGGTACTAATGCACATGACCACTATCCAAGTACATCATGTGCTGGTAAAAAAGAAAACAGGCAGTACCAACTCTGTCAAACAAATCAGAGAAACACCATTAAAATACCAATTTCCTTGTCATGATCTTCCAGATGAAAGTAAAATCCCTCCTACAGGAGGTGACTACAAAACTATTCAGGGAGTGGTCTCAACTCTCCATTAATTGTATAGTCTAGCAAAACACGAAACATGTTCAGTGTGGGTCAGATAACCCATTGTGTATAATTGAGTGGTAAGATTCATCCTGAAAAGTCATCAGGAGGGAAAATGACATGAGGCACTTTTTGTTAATCATCTTTAGAAATGTAAGAATAGAAAAAAAAAAGCCCAGTTTTAAAACACCCAGAATAAGTTAAATGACTGCACTACATACAGTATTGAAAGCATATATATTAGTTAAGTCTTTTCAGAATGCCCTAATTTATGGTTTGATCTTGCTTAGTGGTTAACTATATGT